GAGAATTTTGTTGTTTGTAGTCGGAAGGAATTTATAAATTTTTTAGCACGAAAGGGAATCTTTTAGGGAATTTACGGATATACACATCTAAAAGACTTAATTACGTACAATTTTATAGGGTTTGTCACCAGAGGGTATTGATACAAGGAAATATTTTTATTTTAGAAAACCAGTTTATAAGGGATCATTATAATTGTAGGGCTCTATCCATAGAGGCTAAAAGGACATTTTACTATTATTTATTATTTTCGAGAGATTTTCTTTTTTAAGATTTTCCAAATATCGACTTTGGCTTGATTTCTAATCTCTGAATAACATAACACTTATACATAATGAAGAAATAAAAAACTTCCATGGAAAAGCACCATCTAGCTTCTGTCAGTGGAAGGATATAGAAAATTTGAAAAAAACAGTATAAAAAAGCAAGATTTCAAAATCATTTTGAGGCCAAAATTGTACTTCTTTGAAATATGTATCTACTTTGATTTTGATAATTTTCAGAATTATTAAAATTGTTTATTTCAGAAGGGTATAATCGAAATCTGTATTTTTGGTATACAACATTTGTCTTAAAATCAAATACAGAGGATGTAAAAATAAAAAAAATAGTTTTTAAATTTTCCCATTTTTTTTAAATATATAATAACGGTATAAAGAGTTTCTAATTATAACGTATAAAAAGTTCTAAATTATCAGTAAAAAATGTGTAAAACATTGAAAAACACAAAATCGATATTTTTGAAAGGATATAAATACAATACTCATAAAATCGACAATTGAAAAATTTCATCTGAAATATCTCTAAAACTATTAATTTCGACACATAGTTTAAATAGTGCAATTGTAAGCCCACTTATTTTATTTTATTTTATTCTTTACAAACACCTATTGAGGTAGCTACATGTAAAGGCCTAAAGAAATCAGATACAATCACAATTACTTAAAACTAGACAAATCAGCATGTATTACAAAAGTATACATAACATTTAATCTATAAAATATGCAATAAAAAAAATAATGAAATCCATCACACCAGGTTTGTCTCTTGATGCAACAACAAGATGCGCCTAAGTTCGCCAAACTTAATGTTAAACATATCGGGAATTATGTTCCTGGACAACATATCGTTACAAATGGTGAGCTTCAACGTGAATGGCGAGGGGCTTCCACCATCAATGTAAAAAAGATCCCATCAAAAAGATAGAATGTAAAAAAATGCCAAGTCTCGCAACACAATTCCTCCGCTATAAAAAGTTGTGATATCTCATGTAAAACCAAGTTAGTTTATTTTATTTAGTCTTTCTTTAAGCAGCTATTCAACAATTTTGTTATAAATTGTTAGTATCAATATTAGTCATCTTTATTTCTATAATAATTATGACTTGGCAATTGCATGCACCATAATTATAAAAAGAATAATCTACTATTTCGATTACTAAGTAAATCTAAACAGTGCACTTAAGAATAAAGTTTTTTTAATTACTTTAAAATATCATATCGTGTAATTGCCAAGTCATTATAATTATTATCTTGCAAAAATTATGTCAAACCGCCTGCACCCATATATAGAAAAAATCCTTCCAGAATCGCAAACGGGTTTTCGTACCAACCGCGGCACCGTCGATTCCATATTTTCCATCCGTCAACTACAGGAAAAAGTAAAAAAGCAGCAGTCTAAACTTTATGTTGCATTCATCGATCTAACAAAAGCCTTCGACTCTGTGAACAGAGATGCGCTTTGGGCAATTATGAAAAAGTTCGGAGTACCCAACAAATTTCTTACAGTGTGTAAAAGCCTCCATAACAACAACAAGTCCAGAGTGTCACATCATGGATCACTGAGCGATCCATTCCTAACAAATACAGGAGTTAGGCAGGGATGTGTCTTAGCGCCTCTCCTATTCAATATATTCATGGCAGCGCTCTCCATTATAGTGGACAGCAAACTACAGGAGAGAGGATTGGGCATTAGATACAGATACGACGGCGGTCTGTTCAACATAAAAAGACTCAGGGCAAAAACACGTACAAAATTCATCACAGAACTCCAATACGCTGACGACTGTGCTCTAGTTGCAAACACGGTACAACAATTACAAGAAATGTTGAATACATATACCTGGGCATACGAGGCTTTGGACCTTAAGCTAAACATCGACAAAACCAAAATCATGTGCACTCCCCCGGAAGATCACAACAATACAATAAAAATCGGAGAAGAACTATTGGAATATGTGGCGGAATTCAATTACCTTGGCAGTTTGATTTCGGAAAAGGCCAATATTGACTCTGAAATTCAGCACAGGATTAGTAGCGCTTCAAGGGCATTCTGGAAATTAAAAGACAGGGTATTCTACAATCATGACTTGAGTACAAAAACAAAACTTGCAGTGTACAGAGCAATTATAATCCCCACCATGTTATATGGGAGTGAAACCTGGGTGCCGTATCGCCGAAACATAAACGCATTAAACAAGTTGCAACAGAGACACCTTAGACAACTCTTAAGAATCCGGTGGTTCCATCATGTCTCAAACGTATCGGTCCTTGAAAAAGCTAACTGCGAGAGTATTGGAATCATGGTTACAAAATCTCGCTTAAGATGGGCTGGTCACGTATGCAGAATGCAAGAAATTCGTATACCAAAATCTCTACTTTACGGTGAGCTTGTAGACGGTAACTGGAGGCCGGGTGGACAACTGAAAAGGTACAAGGACATTTTCCACGAAAACATAAAGGGGGTTAACATGCAGAATGACTGGGAAACAGCAGCTCACAATAGAACTCAATAGAGAAGAGTTGTAAACTCAGTTAACAGCGATAACCAAAAAGTAAAGAGACAACAAAGCAATGAGATTTTTGAATGTACGGAGTGCGGTAGGCAGATAACATCACGTATCGGGCTTTTCAGTCACAGAAAAGCTCATGAAAGAAAACGCCTTGCGTGACCATCTGCTTTATGTGTGTCGAATACTCGTCAGCGAGTAACGGCTGTATGTATGTATATGTATGTATAATTATTATAGAAATTAAGATGACTAATATTGATACTAACAATTTATAACAAAATTGGTGAATAGGTGCTTAAAGAGAGACTAAATAAAACGCTGCAACGCTGATAATATTTTAGATAGATGGAGCAGGTGCCTTTAAATAAAAATATTTTTTTAAATAATCCTATCACCGGTCCTCCTATTACCATCACCGGAAAGTCGGTTACCACTAGCGACTAGACAGCTAACTTTTGAGCCATAAGGATATTTCAAGATTTTTCATTTTTTCCTTCCATTATAAGCTTAAAGCTACCTAAAATTCAAAATTTGAAGTTTGTGACGTGACACATGTAGAAGTACTTGAGAATTTTGATGACGGCGAGTGAGTCACTGGCGAAGTTAAGGAAGTTTGACTAAAAAAAAATCATAATCCTTGAATTATTGTTTAAGATATTATGTATTTAATATTTTACAATCAAAATATTAACGAAAACAAAATAAAAAAAATTATGCCCCGAGGCAGCCTCGAACTCGGGCCTCGGTTTACTAGAGCAATACTTTCGCACCGCGCTATCTAGCCTTGCTGGATGTATGTGTAAAAAAAATAAATAGGGACTTCATTACAAGTTAAAATCTGACTAGAGGCAATTCATAATCCTTGAATTATTGTTGGTACATTGATATATAAATAAAATCAGAAGAGACCGCTCCGATTAATTCTAGTTTTCTACCTTTTTCTCGACTGGAAGGCCAGTTAACGGTAGCGGCTAGACAGCTAACTTTTAATCCATAAGGATATTTTGAGATTTTTCCTTTTTTTCTTTGGTTATAAGCTTAAAGCTACCTAAAATTCTAAATTTGGAGTTTGTGACACATCTAGAAGTACCTTAGAATTTTGATGATCTGTCAGTGAGTCAATGTCGAAATTAAAGAAATTTTCCTATATACCCCGCTGGCAAGCGAACCTTTAGGTCGGCGTTTACATGTATAGGAGTGAGTCGTTATGGCAATCTAGTAAGTCGGAGTGAGCAAAAATACGAAGTATTTATTACATAACTACTTAATTTGACGCTTGATTCCATGCGCTTGGGAAACTCGCTACTCGCCTTCTGTCTTTATTCAGTACATCTTATTTTACTAAGCGTGTTGACCGTACTCTTCGTACACATGAAAACCGGCACCCAAGACCAGAAATGCCGACCCTTAGTAGAAGGATGTGGGTGGAAAGATAAGTGATAATTATTTAAGTGATTATCGCTTGGTGGCCATATTGTAATTGTCATTTTTTGAAATATTAATTCAGAAGTCATTTCTGTCAGTTCCACAAAATATCACGTCAATTCTTATTACAAAATGGCAAAAAATGTTTAAGATAAGAAGGATATATGTGTAAAGTACTTAGATTTTATAATTTATATATTTATTAATATAACGAAAGCCAACTGCGAAGTGAAGTCTTTATTCTCTAGTTTTACATATATTTATAAACTATCAAACCGCATTCCTTAATATATAAATAAGGTATTTTACACTTAGAAACTAACAATTTGATTTCATCATTTATTCTACATTAAGTAATATTCAAATATATTGCACTTTTCTCCCCTTAAAAAAAATATTTAGTTACATAAATATAATTACATAACTTATAATATAATAATTATTCTAATACAAATTAATTTATTTATAAAAATACATTATCTCTAATAAAATACAAAATTTAAACTTAAACTAAGTCTTATTATTTAATCTAGGCCGTACATTATACCCAGAGCTAGAAGGTAGGGTTGAATCAGGAGAATTTTTATTTTGTGAATTATCGGTAGTAGGCATTAAAGATTCATTATTTGTAATATTTGTTTCAACATGTTTGCTTTCTACAGGTTCTGTTCTAAAAGAACTGAAAGAAGGCCTAAGCTGATTCGAATGCCGTCTAAATTCTCTATCATCGTTAGATTTGACTTTATAAATTACCGATCCCTCTTGCGCAATAACTCTGCCTGGTATTCAGGTAGGATGTTCAGGATTTTTAAAGTCTCTTAATAAAATCTTATCACCTAAATTAAAATTTTTAACACTACTATTTTTATACTCGACTTGTTTTTGAATTTTATCTGATATAATCTCTTGATTTTTAGGTATTAATAAATCTAATTTACAGCGTAAGCGTCTGTTGAACATTAATTCTGCGGGGCTTTTGTTAGTAAGGGCGTGTGGTGTATTCCTATAATCAAAAAGAAATTCAGTAAGTGCTGTATCACAATTTCTATTTTCTGATACTGCCTTTTTAAGTGCTAACTTAAAAGTTTTAACTAAATTTTCTACTTGCCCATTACTTTGAGGATGTTTTGGGGTTGCAAATAATTGTCCATTTTGCTGTAAAAACTCCATTTTGCTGTAAAAAATGAGAAAATTCACGCGATGCAAAAGGAGGACCGTTATCTGAAACTATTTTACGAGGTAATCCAAAACGTGCAAATATTTTTTGTAATAATTTAATTACGTTGTTTGCATCACTGCGATTACATTTAAATACTTCCGGTCATTTGCTATATGAATCTGTTACTAATAAATACTTATTTCCAAAAATTGGACCCATAAAATCTAAATGAATTCTACTCCAAGGTGCATTTTCTAAAGGCCAAGGTTGGATTTGACTTCTGCAGGGGTTATTTAAGAATAACGTACAAGTAGAACAATTACGACCCATTTCTTCGATATCTTTATCTATTTTTGGCCACCAAAAATAAGACCTTGCAATAGCTTTACATTTAATAATACCCATATGGGTTTTGTGCAATTCTTTTAATAAAAGATTACGTAATTTAATTGGAACTATAACACGATATCCCCATAGTATACAACCATGTTCTAAATGTAGCTGTTCGCGTTTAAAATAATAATTTTTAAATTCATCTTTAACTTCTAAATTTTCAGGCCACCCCTGTAAACCATAACCGTAAATTTTATTTAAAATAGGATCTTTTTTTGTAAAAGTTGCAATTTTTTTATAGTCTATAGGCAAATTCTCTTCCAAATAAAAAATATGCGAATAATCAAATTTATTTTCTTTGGTGTTTTTTTAAAGGAAGTCGCGATAAAGCATCAGACGGATTTTTTTCTGACGAAATATATTTAATATCATATAAATACGTACTTAAAATAATACTCCATCTCTGTAAACGACTAGCAGCATAAACCGGAATGCCTTTTTTCTTGTCGAAAATATTTACTAATGCTTATGATCGTAAAGTAATGTGAATGGCCTACCATATGTATAAATAATCATGGAATTTTTTTAAACAGAAAATTATCGCGGCGCCTTCTTTATCAATTTGTTACTATAAGATTTTTCCGCGTCCGAAAGTGTACGTGAGGCATACGCAATTGGTCGTTTATCTCCAGTTTCGTATACATGATACAAAACACCCCCAAGACCGTACGCACTAGCATCACTACCGACTGCGCCAGTGTAAAGTACTTAGATTTTATAATTTATATATTTATTAATATAACGAAAGCCAACTGCGAAGTGATAAACTATCAAACCACATTCCTTAATATATAAATAAGGTATTTTACACTTAGAAACTAACAATTTGATTTCATCATTTATTCTACAATAAGTAATATTCAAATATATTGCAATATGTACTTTATTTCGTTGTATAATCTTTTGAATACAACTCGATGTTTCGGGATTACCGAATAATACTTTTACCTGGCAAAAAATGCGTTACCCAGCAACACGAGGACTCTGAAGGGAGAGTAGTGTTGCCGGTATCGCATTGAGTGTATTACACTTGTGGTATTACATTCGATAATTACTAGATATTTTGGTAAACTAGCCAGCTATAGTATATCTTCAAGTGTAGTGAAAATTAATATTCTTGCTTTATCCACAACGAAGTTACAGGGTGGTCAAAAGTGCCGCTAATACCTTCCAGAAAAGGATGGTACGGCTGTGCTCGACTTGGCTGAATTATTGTTACGACAGATTAAACTTACACACTCTCAACCTAACCTTCGGTACCCAAAATTTAATGCTATTAATCAGACCACAATCAGCATATTTCAAATCAATAAGAATGTTATATATAAAGGAAAAATAGCAGGCAAGTCAAGCAAAAAGAGGAAAGAACCAGGCAAGTTATTGTTGAGTTTTACGTTTGTCCGCTAAAATGGTATTTTTTCTAATAAAAAATACCTAAGTTCTAACAAATCTCTATTACGCTATTTTTATAAGTTCCTGTACTTTATTTTTGTAACGTCTTGAACATTAAATCATGCTTTTCTCAATTTGGAGGGAAATTGACTTACCAGCTTTTTCCCCTGACCCTGCAAGTATCTTTTACAAGAAAAAAAAATCAACAAATTAACCGCAACAACGGTATAGAAATTATTTAAATTTTGTTGAATAAAAAATAAAAAAGGAATTATTTAAGTTTTCCAACGCGATTTCATAAAATTTTGGACACTTTTTAGACATGCTGTTGCCAAATCTATTTAAATAATTTCACTTCCCGTATCCTAAATGATTGTATTCCAAAGGAAGGTGTCGGTCTTATTCATATTCATGAGAAACGTTTTGAAATCGTCATATTTTTACAAAGTTGCCAGATACTTTTGTTGGAGTTTTTCAATTAGAAAAATATATTAAATCTTCTCAACATCTCTAACAATAGCGAGTAGCTTTTTTAAAATGAATAAATGAATGAAAAATGTATTAATGTAATAACCCAACATTATCCAAACAGGAAAAGAAGAGGCTAGCTATTAAAGACGTTTTTTTTTGTGTAATTAATTATAATTTATTTATCTTATGGCTTACATGCAAGGGAGAATTAGTTCATTTCGGTATTCACTAGCTTATTGTTAAGATGGACTGTAACCACTTCTGTTTTATTTAGACTGGGTTCTTGTGCAAGGAAAACGAGATCATATGTCAGTGTTTTTGAGTTTTACATACCGATTTCTATACAGTTGCTACTGTTATATTGTCTGCGTAACAAACTTTTCTCGATTGGGCATATGGGAGGTCAAAAATATATTATGTTGAATAACAGACGGAAGATATTTTATTATTATTATAAACTTTCTGGTTGGTATTTGACTTGGAGGTTGTCTTGATTCCGATGATATGATCATATTAAAAGATAAAGAAAGTTACTATAATTTTTTTACATATTTGTTAGTGTATTTAAAATTTTTTGAATATTGTGATTATTTCATTATTATTATGCTTAAGAAGCTTTTTAAGGTGGTCCCAATCGTTATTACAAAAAATATTTTAAAAGAAATCTTGTAAATCTGGCAAGATTGCACTTATAGCTCGATTATACTTAGCTGGAAAGGTGCCAGTGAGATCAACTAGTCCCTAATGGTTTTTCCTTTTTTTCTATAGGTCATTTCACTTGACGAGCTTTGAATATTTAAAGAAAAACATTTTCTAAATTAATTATACCTAATTAGAATAAAATTTTGAGATAAAGAGATCAGAGGTGACCTAAGCATTTATAAATATAAGTAAGATTATTATCCTTTACGAAATAATAAGACAAATATAGTCATATAATAATGATATAAATTTAAAAAAATTCAGAACTATCCAATTAGACCCACTGAAATGTATTAATTTTATTTAATTATTTTCACATATTTGTAGAACATGTCGTTTTTGAAATAAAAAAAAATGTTTTGATAACTGTAATATCTAGGTATAACTTTATATATAGAGTGTTTTTTTATAGGGAAAACATAAAAGGAAGAAAAACTTAAATTTAAGAAACCGTTTTTATAGCAAACAATACCCCTGTAGCACAGCAATTTAAATAAATAAATAAATAAATAACATCTTTATTTTTTACTCGGCGAAATTCAGCAGAGCTGTTAAGTTAACCGAGCATATAAAAAAGTAAATAATATAATACATTCTTAAAAAATAACATTCAAAGAAAAAAGAATTAGTAAGAAAAATGAAAATTAACAATATACTTTAGATAAAGAAAAATCAACAACTTAATAAGTTAAAGCAAAAACAGTAAAAAATGAAAATTGTTAAAGCAAAAACAGTAAAAAATGAAAATTGTTCCGTAAAGGATACAAAAATTAATAAATCAAATTATTGTGTAATTCTATATCCGCTCAACATATAAGTTTTTAATTTTGTTTTGAAAGTGAACGTCTTTAAATCAAGGGAGTATAGATTCAAGTTGGAATTGTACATCTTGGTTGCCAGGTAGGAGAAAGAACGCTGATATAGCGCCGTGGATGTTTGGGAATTTCCATATTATTACACTGCCTTATAGCATAGTTAGAGTATCGAAATTTAAGTTTATTAGTTAAATACTCAGGAAAACCATTCCGCAAAATTCTGTGTAAAAACATGCAAAATGTAACTTTGTCTGTCTTCAATATTTAGCCAATTCAACATATCTAGTTTATATGTAACATGGTCTCTCGATCTTAATCCGTATATTAAGCGAATACATGAATTCTGTACTTTCTGTAACTGTCTCTTAGATTTTTGATCGAGACAAGGCCCGTAAACAAAATTACAATAATTGGACTGTGATAATACAAGAGCCTCACATAATTGCTTTTTTAATTTATAGTTTAGAAAATCTTTTGTTTTGTATAGGTTTCTTAAGGAGATGAACGATGCCCTGACCACTTTACTCACTTGAGATCTAAACCTCAACTGCGAGTCAAATATAAGTCCTAAATATTTTGATTCCTTTCTACGGAGATAATCGAATCAGACATTTTTATTTTCATGTTCTGGGCCGCCCAGTTATTATTTGGTCCGAAGTAAACGATTACTGACTTTGTCGGATTTAGTTTTAACCCGTTCTTGCTGGAATAAGTGTATATTTTTTCTAAACACTGTTCAACTTTGTTCTGGGCTTCGTATGCTTCTGATTTTCTAAAACTTAAATGTAATTGGGTATCGTCGGCATATCTATGCATTTTGCAGTGGTTATCGTCCACTGCTATGTCCATGGTGTATATAATAAAAAGTAACGGACCGAGAATGGATCCCTGAGGAACGCCCTTAGTAGTAAACTTTGCCTCCGATTGATTACCATTCATCGAAACAAATTGGGACCTATCAACTAAATAGCTGTGAAAGAAATTAACAGCAGCCACAGAGAACCCGTAATACCCAAACAAGCAACATGTGGTCCAACGCGTCAAATGCCTTACTATAATCCAGCATTATCAAAGCAGAAGTTCGGCCTTCATCAGCTGCAGATATAATGTCGTCAAGCACACTTAATAACACAGAAGCTGCGCTATATCCCTTTCGAAAGTCTGACCGAGTGGGCGGTATAAGGTTCGAATCGTTCAGATAACTAACAAGTTGTATGTATATCGCCTTTTCAAATATCTTTGACAAGGTAGGTAAAAGGCTTATGGGTCTTAAATCTGAAAAACTACCAGGATTATTTATTTTAGGAATAGGCGTTACAGTAGCTACCTTCATTGAGTCGGATAAACTCTGGAAGTTATACATTCATTAAATATGTGGGCTAGAAAAGGAATAATGAGAGCACAACTTAATCATTTGTAGGATAACCCATCAAAGCCACAAGAATTTGATTTTAAATTAGATATAGCATTCAACACATCAACTTCCAGTATAGTTCTAAATTGAAAAACATGATTCGAGCCCCGGCCATTTTCGTATTTTTTTACTATGTCAGAATCGACTGTCAGTGTTAGCTTATTAATGGAGTCCAGAAAGAAGTCATTAATAGAATTTGGATTACATAAATGCTTGGGAAGAGTTCTGCTGGTTTTAGCCTTACGGTAAATATTCATACCGTTCAGACTTTTCCACAGAACTCTTCTATCAGTCGACTTACAAATATACTCCAGGTACGACCTTTTCTCATTTCGAACGGCTTGGGTGAAAATATTTCATATTTTATAAGCGGCCCAGTCACATTCCTTTCTTGTTTTTTTGTACTTAGACATCAGTTTATTACGTTCCTTCTTCATAATCCTTAAGACATCAGTAAACCATGGAGCCTTTTTGCTTGGTAATCCGTACAGTGCACAGCGGCGCATGGCGGTCAAACAATTGTCTTACTTTATCAGTAAGCAGCATTACTTTTTATTTCCACATTCGGTTCCTCAAGAACATCATACCAATGAGTGTTTATAAGATCCGCGTGGAACATTTCACTATCAAAATATTTAAAGTTTCTGTATTTAATAATTTTAGGCGCTTCTCGAGGAGCAATACAATTCAAAGTGCAGAAAGTGAGCTGATGATCGGTCTCTTCATGCATATCATGATGTAATACCTTTCCAACAATTAATCTGTCATTAGATGTAATAATATAATCAATAAGACTATTCTGATTATTTACAATTCGTGTGGGTTCTGCGGTTAATTGTTTAAGTGAGAAAGATGTGAGAAAATCGTTAATCGAAATTGTATTGTATCCGTCTATTTCTATGCTATTACCAGAAATTCGCTCTGAAAGCCAGGTCTCCGTAACTCCCAATATGTCCAACTCCAACCTATGAACAGAATCACTCACGCTATCCAGACTAGGCAACAGTGAGCGAATATTTACATGACCCAACTTAAGATTCTTTGTTGAAATATTTGCAGTAGCCATTGTGAATAATAAAAATAACAACAAAAAAAAGTAGTAAATCATAATGAAAAACAAATATAGAAAACAAATATAGAAAACGTAAACAACTAAAAATAAAAATATGTATACATATATGTGCAAGCCCAACCGATTACAAATTTTCCAAAGAATTACACAGATCGTTCAACATGGTCTCATTTTTTATAACAATGATTTCATCATCGTCTCTTCTTCGCACCATCACTTTACAATTGCGATGCCATACATATTTATATCCACGAGTTTTAAGTTCTTTGCCTTTTGAATAGATGATATGTTTCCCTAGTTAATTCCTCATCGATGAAAATGGGTTGGTCGGATTCGCCCAAGCCAAGTTTTCTGTGTGAGATTCTTCCTCGCTCTGCACGTGCTTTTAAAATGTTATTCTTCAAATCCGCATTCACCAGGGTGACACTAACCTTAGGACCATTTGGAGTATCATAAAGCCTAACACTTTCGAGATTTTCTTCTTTCACTGGCACACTTAATGAAGTAAAAAGTTTTATTAATTCCACTGGCGCAGATTTCTTATCTTTTACGTTACCAGACAGACCAGAAATGCATAAATTGTTTTTAATATTATTTGCGTACTGTTTACTAAGAGCATTTTCCAGTTTCAGCACTTTAGCCTTCAACACTTGATTGTCTTTGAAATTTCCGAGAACATTTCGGATATAATCTGATTACGGTTTCTTTCTTCCTCGTATTTTTCGTTTAAGAAATCCATCGATGTTTTAATTTCCCTCAGCTCAGTGCGCAGCTCGCCGATAAGCGACTTCAATTCATAAATATCTCCACCGTTCCTGCTGCTTCCACTCCGAGTCAGACGTTGCGATTCTTGATAAATAGAGCTTCTTCGGCTTAGGCAACTCTCACATGTCCAAGGGGTTGAATTAGTTTGCATCAGTCTCGCGTCTAGTTCTGATACTCCCCGCAGCCCAAGTGAAAGTAGCATTCACAGCGACCGCATTGTAATTTAATCTTTTGCCAATACTCTTTAGACATTTCTTACATATTTTATTAACCATTTTCAATAGTTCGTATATTATTACTTTAAACTTCCAGAAAAATAATTAACAACGGCAACGTTGCAGATATCTTCACTGATCAACCGTACTATCAAAGGTTCAAAGTTCAATACAGGTGGACCATATATTAGTTTTTCGTGAATATTGCATGCTAGTGAATTAAATGTGTTTCAAAAAAACTCACCTACATACGGGTGAGGTTTCTGCCAGTTACCTCGACAATTTCAACAATTTAAATCACGGATAAGGCTACGAAACTTCAAATTTTCAGGAGATAAACAAAATAACCAACTAAACACCAATGCCACAACGTTGCCCTAGGTAAAATCTTATATTTACATATTGGCTCAACGATAGAAACGACAGATTTTTTTTAATGGCCCAATATACATTTTTATATGAATCCGATATTAAAGATACGGTTAAAAGATTTATATTCTATATAGATATAGAAAAATAATCTCTCTATCTAATCTTTTATATATTACTAGTATTGGGTAAATATTACATATAAATATTAGTAAATATTAGTTACTGCTAAATATGCTTTACGCGTGTTCAAACTATATTGGACAAATATTGTATAAACATATAGGTAAAAGGTGCAACTCATATCCATTACTATTATTGGCTTGAAATTGCCAATATTGGGCCCATATACAATATTTTCCCAATATAGAATCAATGTTGAGCCAATATAGTGTGCTACTGGTTTAGTAACATCTTTTTAAATTACTATGATATAACAATTTATAAAACATAGCAATGCGGGCATTCTCAGTGGACATCACGCTTGTTTGCTCCGAACTTGTTCAGTGTTTTAGCGTTGATTAAAAGAATCGGGAAGATACGCAACCTAATGGGTGAACTCGTGACAAGGCTGATTTGATTTCCCTTTGCGTCTCAAGTGCTGCAAGGTAGAGCCTTTACTCGTTCTGGGATCAACGCATAAAACACTCATTTTTTCTAATTCGGCTAGGAAGGCTTATCGAAGACAGTGTAGAACTGAAAGCGACAGTGTTGCCATATTAAAATGTGTAATATCTGTAATACGTTTGATGAACATATCTTTGGATGAAAAATCCGCGTTTATACAGGGTGTTACAAATTCGAGGTACGAGCATTGGTATCTCGGTAACCGTAATAGATACAAAGATGGTTAAATTGGGGCAAAGTTGCACTTTGGGATGTTCACCAAGATGACATGAAAAAAGGTTTAAAAATTTCAAGGATTGCTGAGTTTTTTGGAAAAAACGGATATTTTTGAAAATCAATTTTATTTTTTCCTGTCGCTACTTTTTAGAAAATCAAAATACTAATTGCACATTCTCATAGCCACTTTATTAGGATTATCTGATAGTATTTTTATATTTTCAAATCAGCTGATAGTTTGTGAGATACAGACGCCAACTTAATTTTTTTAAATACGAACCTGCATTTTTTATTTCAGATTTTGAAAGAACTCGCTCTCCTGAGTACAATGATATGCACACACTTAATATTTTTTTATTAAGTTATAGTTTTGGAAATTTTTAGAGTATTAGAAACTAGTTTGTAGAAGTTAATTTATTCATAATAACGATGATTAATATTATGCAAATTATTAGATCGTACACTGAGAATTTCAAATTCACAATAAGAAAAGTTAAAAATAATATCTTTAAATTGCTGATCTGGATATTATCTATTTGAATCTTTCAAGTGGCTCAAATTTTCTGATTCAATGTTAATTAGCACTGATTAGTATTGTTGCGATGAATATAATCAGAATAAATAATTTAAAATACGGAGTCTGATTTGAAATTTTTTTAAATAATAATTAAATAGTTTCGTTGCTGTTAAGGTACCCAAAACAAAAAAAAAGTATAAAGTTTGGCATATCATTATACTCAGGAGACTGAGTTCTTTCAAAATCTGAAAGAAAAAATGCAGGTCCTTATTTAAAAAAATTAAGTTGGCCTCTGTATCTCACAAATTATCAGCTAATTTAAAATCTAAAAATACTGTTAGATAGCCTTAATAAAGTGGCTATGAGAATGTGCAATTAGTTTTTTGATTTTATAAAAACTAACGACATGGAAAAATAAAATTAGTTTTCAAAAAAATCCTTTTTTTCCAAAAAACTCAGCAATCCTTGAAATTTTTAAAACTTTTTTGATGGCATCTTGGTGAACGCCCAAGGCACAACTTTGTCCCAATTTCACCATCTTCGTATCTATTACGGTTTCCGAGATACCAATGCTCGTATCTCGAATTTGTAGCACCCTGTATATTGAAAATTTATTTGTGTGAAACATGAATAAACAAAAAAAATAAAAATTCCTTTATAAGTACTGAATATGTCGTATGATCGAAAAAATCGTTTAGTTGGTTAGGAAGTGACGACTATTAACATTTACCATAATATTTTACATATGAAATAACAGCGATTTTGATTTCCAAGCCAACTCGGACGCCGTTCTTTGTTTAATCATATAATATTATATTAATTTTTTTAATGATATAAAATCCGTATTATTAACGTATTGTATCCAAAATCTGTAAACAACACATAAACAACAATAACTTGTTCGGCAACACTGTCTCCGGCAACCATCCACTCTGTCGACTGAATGTACTACGGTACATAATTCTTTATCCGCTACGCTGGTGCTGGCGCTGTTAAAGACTATCAGCGCGCAGCGGCGTAGGGCTAAACTAAATCTCGGACAGTAGCGGCGGTATGGCCAGCCGCATCTCGGACAGGTTTTGTGCCACGAAATCGCCCATAAGGTTGTGCATTTTCTTATTTCTTCAATCAACGGTTTTAGGATTTATACTATAAATTAATAAATTATTATTAATAAATTTGTACTTGAAAACTGCCAGTGGCTGCATCTGGCTCAAACGTAGTGCGAGTTAAAATAATTAAGATTCGAAAAATAAATAATTCGAAATTCTTTTAGTTTGAATAGTGAATCATTGTCTACCACATTCGAAAAACTTTATTATTTAAAGTACTCGTATATATTTTATTTTATATCTGCATAACCATAATATATAAAAGCGAAAGGTAAACATTAGTATAGAAACCCTTTAATCTTTTAGATAAGCGCTGCTCAGTGAAAACAAAAACCGGATGGAGCTAAATTGGGGATAAGCAGAATAATACCATGAAACGGCTGCCATCAGAAAGGCCGATTCAAATTAAAAGCTCGAAAATCAAAAGCTCGAATTTTTTGAATGCAATCAGAATTTAAAGGTAAAAGAGTATAAATCATCGTTAGGCGGTAGGCAGCTCGTTTGAGTTCGAAATTTTTCTTTATTTCCATATTTTAACTTGCTTTTTAAATATTTAATTTCCCTTCAGTGCCTTGCTGAGTTCAGTTCAATTTTAAATTTCTGCGTTCTTTTTGTACATTATGTATTCAAACTCAAATTTTTACTAGTTCTGGGAATATATGATTAAAAAGTTTTATAATTTATTTAAGAGAGTGCATTGGAATGTAATTTGCATTATACGTTCTTTTTACAGACGAAGATATATTGGTGGCACCGTATTGGGGAGGTTGTGACTAAATATATGAAAATTGGAAAAGGAATAAAACATCTTTCATAAAAAGATAATGCAACATTTTTATTCTCTCATTATTTAATCATCTTTGCATCTCTTCTTGTTTGCGTTCCCTATAGAATGCGTTCTTATATGGGACACATTATCATATATATATTATCATAATCGTCATCATTTTCAGCTTATTCAACCATTTCCAATTATGGTGTAGCCTCTCTCACATACTCTCTTTGTAGCTGGGCCCATTGTTGTCTACAACCCTGCTAATTTTCTAATATAATGGTCCCATCTCAGGTTCGGTCTTCTTCTAGGTCTCTTAATTCCTAGTGGGTACCATCTATTACCTGTTTTTTTTTGTATAAGGTGAGTTGGGGTAAATGTGTGATAAAATTAGCATAGTGACACTTTAGCGACCTATATTTTAAAAACCACAACGCCAAAAATTAAATAAAAAATATTATAGAGTACCTTGATATGTTCTTTGAACACCCATGAGGGTTTTTTGTGATTTGATATTTTTTTGCTAAAAGGGCAGTGATTTTTCAAAACGATGTTTTAATATCACATTTGCCCCACACATTGGGGTTATTGTGATAATCGTCTCTGCTGGAGTATGAGGAATATATGCACCTTTGGTATGGGGTTATTGTGAAAAATCGGAGTTTTTTACATAATATGGTTTGTTTGCATTGTTTTTAATGGTTTTTTTAATGCTTTAAATCCAGGGCTTAAAAATAATAACAAAGCACTAACGAAACTGAAATATAATTTTTATTGATTATTTGCTAAAACATAACAAATTAAAGGGTTTTACCAAGGTTTTACCCAAACCTAAACTAAAAGTTCTAATTTTTCTATTTGTTGTTTAAGTAAAATATGCATTTATTATAAGTTAAACCCAGAAAAGGTCATATTAAATGAAATTATTCCTCTCCGGTCAATAATCGGTTCAGGAAGAACTTGAATAATGTTACTTTCCTCAACTGTATCTACGTCATCTACTTGTGGTGATATAAACCTACCACCTTTGGGTCGCAAATATTTTATTACCCTGTCCATTTCATCCCGATCGGTTATTTGTCCGACATAATGTTTTCTGGTCTTCTTTGTGGAATACTCCACAAGTACCCATTTGTTGATCTGTGGAAATTGTTCTACCATAATTTCAGGTTCTGGAGACGGATTTCTCAAGTTGGCTAAAAATTCATTGTCGTTGTCAGAGTTCTGGACTGAGACCCCTTCTGGGTCTTTATTTTCTGAAGAACTTTCACTTTGCTGCTTTTTCTTACTTGGTTTCACAGGAGGGGTCTTCAAAGAAAGAATTTCGTTAGTTATAATTTTGGCACCACCGGCTACTTTTTTCCTTGGAAGCTTCTCATTGGGTGTTTTTTATTTTACAGTAGATAGTAAAAGCGACTCAAACGAAATATTCGAGGACGATGAAGCAACGACTTCTTCGTGATTCACAGATCCATTCGTCGACGACGTTATGCGCTCTGTAGAGTTGGAATTGCCAGAGGTGGTGGGCGCAGTTACATCCTCTGTAAGATCAGAAACAACAGATGTTTCCGCAGTTACATGATCTGGACATCCGGCACGTTGTGTTTGCAGATCCCATCTTTTAAGAGCTTCAGGACAGAATTTTTCTCTTGGAATTACATCTCGATTAAAAGGTATGATTTCGCCTTTTCTAAATCCGTTTTAGTATTGAAAATACTTCTGGCCGCGTTTATATGGGACCCATCTTTCAAAAAACGACATGCTAGAGGCGACATGGAGTTCAATAACCTGCCTAATCAACTTGTCAACACGTCAGTCGATAGCTGAATAGAGCAAGGCCGTCCGAGGGCCGAAGTGAGGTCTTATTAATGTGGGCCAACTATTTTATGGATATGGATGTTTAGTCTGGGAAGCCGATATTATTTTAAAAAAGAATATGCGTCAAGGCATGGGTTGTTAAGTACAGTTGGGCTATTTTAATCTAACTCTTTCCGTATGAGAAGCAGGGGGCAAATTATACGTGAAAGAGCGGAATAAAATAAATAATAAATTTAGACTAATGCAATATTTTTTCTTGGCGCGTAGGATAATGCGCACAATCGATGCATTAAAGGGAATAATTAATTAAATCATTAAGTTCCAAAACATATAATAATTCTGGTCTCATCGAATCTGCTGATATATTTTGATAAAATTTAGGCTATTAGGACCTACATTTTTTATATGATAATTATTTTTTTAATTAACAACTTAGGACAAAGAGAAAGCTTGCATGGTTTCCACCGCCAAAAAAAATTGATAATTGAATTGAAAAACAAATGAATTCAAGGCGGTGCCAAATATTTATTGGGATAAGTTTTTCTCGTTTAAATATTGTTGTAAATAATAATCATTTAATTAGTGCTAACTTATTAAATTTCACAACACGGCGAAATTTCAACAAAATCGGCTAACGGATCTTTAAAAACACTCAAAGAATCACCTCCTGAAGTTTGGCCAGATACTTAATTAACATCCTGTATTTAAAAATGGCTAGCTAGTGATTTAGTAAGCTATGTTTATTTTAATAGGAAAAAAATTCATTTCATAAAAAATAAACAAACCCATAATACAAATACTATACACCAATTAATTAATTTTAATTGTATCTAAAGGCATTTTAATAATTGAAAAATGGACAGGATCGCTTAAAAATAACTTCGTAGAATATACCAAATATGCTAAAAATAATAATTCCAATAAAAAACACAAATGGCACATTAAAATCTGCATTATCTGAAATCAAACTATAGCTAAACGGCTAATAAAATAATAGAGACAAGACGCCGACATCTATATCTATAACAAAATGAGCAGTTTTTAATAATTATTCCGAGTTAGTATTACATACTTGTTTTACAATTATTGTAATACAGTAGCATTCCTTCAAATAAATTTTGATTTAAGTATTGTTAATATAGTCATATTAATGATTATAGCCCGTATGATTTCTAAAATAAATAATCAAGCGTGTTTTTATCAGAATTATTAAATGATTAAGTAGAAATAGTTAATATTTAGTAACTTCGTAAGTGTTATATTTTAATATAATTATGGATTTAATAATTAAATAATTAATTAATAAACTTGTATGAGTTTCAATCATTTATATTTAAAATCTTAGGGACGGCAATATATATTTTAGGCAGGAGAACTCAAGAGAACGACTGTGTAATTAGTAATTAAGACTTTACAATTTTTTTTACTTGCCATTTTCTTGTCGTTCACGTTGCACGTTGACTCTTCGTTGTGTCACACACAATCTGAATTTCGGATATGATGCAGAACTAATAAATTGGACCAAATATATTAATTGCAGGTAATCAAAGACATATATTTGTTAACTTTGCAAACATTTAAGGCATGCAATAATTTTAAAAAATTTTGACGTGAGATTACTTTATAATTCTTGGAAGTCTTGGATGATAAAGATTTGAATTATTATGGGTCTGTTTTGTTTAAGAAGCTAACAAATAATTTCAGAAACTGAACTATCAAAATATCATGGTAGCAAATTTTTAAAATCTTGCATAGCTATAATGTTAATTATGGGCACCTATGACTTAAAGTTTAAAAATACATAGGCATACATACTATGAGTAGTGGTTGTGACGGGTTTTTACTAGGTATGATGAAAAGAAGCTGCAAACTACATTATCGTGGAACTATATTTTAATTTATTTTTATCTACAGTAACTATTACTTATTTTTTGTACGGCGAATTTATATTTATGGACGGTCCATAAATTTACACCGTAAGTTCGAATATTGGTTAAACCTAGAAATACCCAGGTAATAGCCCGAAATATGCAAAAGAGGGAGTGAGTTTAGGTTAGATTAGAATTAGGTTTTAGTTGGTTTTGCATTAATAAAAATACAGGCCTAATCTAAACTTAACCTAAAGTGACCTTTTTTGCATATTTCGTGCTCCTACGTGGGTAACCCTACGTTTAACCAATATTCGGGCTTTTACGGTAACATAATACTCATTCTGATTGGTTTAATCTGGCTTCATAATGAAACTGTGGGTTCGAGGTGCTATTGCAAATTAATGCCATTAATTCTATATACCTCACCTCTCACTTCTATACCTCACATTTCTATAGTGTCGTGACCATGATCGTGACCGTGATCGTGACCATTCATGAATCCGTACACGTTCATCTCCATCATTAATATTTTTCTTACTAAATTCTTCACTTTTATAAAAAGCCATCACGATAAAAATCAAATATCAAAATTATTTAACGTTGCGAACGGTTCACTTGTTCACTATACGTATCTGGAATATATTTGCGAATGGCAATTAGCGATACGTTAGACTGCCGGAGTGCTGACGTCACGAATGTCAAATTGCATTCCAAACAAGCTAGTTCTTTTATATTTCTATTGAGCTCTTCCAAATGACGTCACAAGTTAATATAAAATGTAAAAAACAGGTGATTGCTGACCACCGCCGACTTTTGTGTCTGGTATTTTCAATACGCCTATGATGGTTGCGCATGTTGCAAAATCTGTGAATTTTTAATTATTTCGGCTTCCATTGATTTCCATGTTTCGCCCAAATATTGAGCAAATAATTTCTTAGGAAGCTTTTGGCCAACATGGTGTCTTTGCCATCTTACCAACCTCTTATCCCACCTTGACTTTAATGCTTTAAAAACCGAAAGATCGAGGGGTTGTAGTAGATGGCTGCTATGGGGGGTCAATTTTAAGATAGTAATACGTTGTTCCACAGCAGCTTCAATAACTTCGGGACTTACATGTGTACTGTGGCCATCATAGACAAGTAACACCGGTCTCTCGTTTCCAAAACAAGGAATCAATGTTAAAATAATTTAGAAATATTGTTGACTCCATTCAGCCTTTTTTGCTAGCAGCATAGACCGTGCCTGGATATCCCGTTCCTTCGGGTGCCATCCACTGATCCCACACGTTAAGACCTTTAAATATAATTAATGGTGGTGCCTTTCTTCCAGCTGCATTAGCGCACATTAAGACACTGGTATTTTCCCTGCCAGGTGAACTAACAGTTCGGGAACAAGCAGCTCCTTTTAATCCCACAACTTTACATTTGGATGGATCTATGGAAAATGAGCTCTCATCCAAGTTCCACACATGATCTGGTTTATTGGCTAAATAGATCTTTTAGTGACGTTTCCAGTAAGTCAAAATATTTGTAGATGATGAAAATGGATCGGCTGCTTTTTTGCGAGCAAACTCTACTGCCTGTGGATTTTTTAAACTTAAGTTGTTCCGTTTTTTAGAACTTATAAACCAGTCGGGACCCGGCATATTGTTTTTGAAGGGGGTTTTAATGTTATTTCCGGAAATATATTTACCGACTACTTCTAGGACCTCTTTTCGACTTAAACCAAATCCCCATTTTTCGAGGGTTGTAATTCCAACAACAAGCTTTTGTTCTTCCAAAGGCGTGACTGCGCATAGCTTTCCCTTTTTGGCGCTTTTTATCCCACGCAAACCCTTTATGTGGCTATATATGGTAGCATATGGAATGTTAAGTGTTATGGAAGCTCGGTACATTGTTAGTCGCTTAGCTCGTACCTCCCGTTCCGCCTGTTCCAAGTTCTCTCTACTATATTTTTCATTGGGCTGCGTTTTGCGCTTATAGTTTCGCACCATTGTTTCTAAAATGAAAATGGGGCTAATGTAATATAAGACGACGCAAATGTAATAATACGGGGCATATGATAATTCACAATAGCCCCCTAGTTGTAAAAGTAAGGGGTAAAAGTGATATAGGCTTGTTTATGAAAAAAAAAAGATAACTACCAAAAATTTGAAATACTACAACAAAAGCATATACCTATATACCCTTAGTCATGTCATCAGCGAATCCTAGATGGTTAAGACATTCTCCATTTTTATTTTTTTTTTGTTGGTCCAGTGTAGTTGACGGAAGATTTATTCTAATATTGGCTGTAAACAGCTTTGGCGATATCGCGTCTCCCTGTCGTACTCCTTTGCCAATTGGAAACTCTGGGGTTGTTTTATTTATAATTACTCTTGCTTAGGCTTCTTTGTATATATTGGCTATAGATAAAACAGCCGCAGATCACATTTTATTTCTACATGCCTTCATCATTATCTAATCGTAGAAAAATTAAATTTATTAATGTACTCCCAAAAATACTCATTTAAACGATCTAGGTATTTAAAGATTCAAATGCTGATCCAGAAACCATTGCCCAAGCTGGAGAATTCTTCCGTCTTAAATTATATATACATGCTTTATAATATCAGCATATAAAAGTAGATTTAATATTGCGTCGTTACCATCGATAGCAGCAGCACACGACGACATTTCTTCCGAACCTATCACTATGGGTTTAGCAGTGGTATGTTAATGAAAAATATGCCGAGGGATGTCAGAAAGCCTGTGGATGCAGAAAAGCTGGGTTGAAGTGCCTTGTTAGTGCCATTAATTGTAGTTGTACCCCTTGTCTGGTTCCTCCATCTCAAGGCGGTGCAAGAATGAGTTTTTTATCCATAACAGATTCTCTTATAAGACGGATTATTATAAAATATACCTTCTTAGAATCCGCAAGAATCTGATTTAAAGACTTATTTATGTTGCGAATTTCAATGTAAAAACATTTCGCTTTTGATGTACGCATCGGTTGTAAAGCGATTTGATTAGTGTCGAAAATTACATTAAATCTGGTAAATGTTGTGATGACGTACGTTCTGGCACAAATCTAAATATAAAGGAGGTATTTAATATGCACCCTTCGTTCAGTCTACTAAACGACGAACATCCTCTATCTCAGCGGCGGCTGGTAAAATTTCGATGTAGGTACTATATCTGTGTATCTGGAAATTTGGTCCTGAAACATTATTACATACAAATTTGCGATTTTTTTTTCATTTTTACATTGTGTGAGTTCTTCGTTTTTAATGTTTTTGAATAAAACAATAATAAAATGTTATTTAGTGTTTTCGCAGCAGTTATGATTTTTTTGATGATATTATTTAAAGTTTCAAGTTTCAATTGCATATTTTTTATTACTAATGACGATTTTTAAAATATATTATGGTCCTTGCATCTGTAACGTGAAATTCCTCTTATTTAAAATACTTAAATAAATAGAAGAAAATGTATGGGCCATCGATTCCAAATTTCTTAGTATTTTATATATGTAAAATAAATATTTTGTTTTTTTAAAGTGTTCCGTTTTAACATCACACTGATTACCGTACAGAAATTATACTATATTAGGTACATAGAACACTTTTTTATATATACATTTTGATTACTATTTTTTTTTCGTAAATTGTAGATTTAATACTATTCTAATGGTTAGAGACCACTACATATTTTAGTGTTTTAGTTATATAGGTCACCACTACATATTTTCATATAAGGTGAAGCCAGATCTGTTATGCACAGGTTAATTCACGGTCAGCAGCACTTAAGGCAGATGCCCTGTGCTAAAAACCAGAAGTTAATTGAAGAGCTAAAAACAGACAGATTAAAGGTTGATTCTCATTATACCTTCCGTATCAGCTATCTTCCGTTTCTCTTCCGTTTCCATAAAATATTATAACATGTAAATGAATAGGACAACGCACGCTCTCCGTTCCGTTTCCCTTCCGTTCCATAAGGATATGGAACGGAAGGGAAACGGAACGGAGAGCGTGCAATGTATGGAAGGAAAGGATTCCTTCCATACATTGATTGATACAAATTGCGTATAGCGTGAATACAATCAAAAATACGGAACGGATATGGAATGGATACGGAATGGAAACAGAAGGTATAGTTAGAATCAACCGGAATGTGAGTATCGCTTACACAAAAGGAAGAAATCGTTTAGTATATAATTTATTGGGGGAACTTGTGTTTTTCTTTAATAAAATTTCAATAATTTCCAAATTTTATTTTAGCTTTTTTTACACAACCAGATTTTTTTAATAGAACCATAAAGTTTCAAGTACAGCGTTTCCCCTCCAAAAAAACGAAAAAATACAGAGTTTTTTACAGCAACTTTTTGGATATTTTTTTATAGACAAGTCCCTATATAACGTTCCCAAAAATATTTAAATTTGATCTGTTATCATAATGAATTTATCGAGTATCAAACTTTAAAATTCATTTTTTCTAAGAAAAATGAAAATGTCACTTGGAACCAGGGTTGGTATGATTTAAATCAAATGATTTAAATCATGATTTAAATCGTGATTTAAATCAAGTGATTTTTTTAATTTTAATCATGTGCTTTAAATCAATTTTTTTTTATTGAAACTCTATAATAAAATCAAGAAATAACTTTAAAGTTATAAAACTGTGTCCTAGAAGACTAGAAAAAATATTTCGATAACAGATAGTAAATCGAAAAATAATTGTAAATGTTATACAACTACATAAAAATAATAAAAATATCTATTCATCAATTTAAATGTTGTACCGATTTTTCAAGTAATTTCGTGTGAATCCATTAGACCGCTAAACGCAGGAATTTGTTTTAAAATTTATGTATAAGTGACAAAAACTCGCTGTTCGAATACATATCATTCGCAAAGTCTACTGCCCAGAATTAGGTTCTTCTGATATAAATACTATATCTTCGTGCCCGAGAATCTATAATCATTGTCAGAAAACGAAATGTTTTATTTTTCTTTTGAAACGGTTGTATGATTCCAAATTCCTACCGACATTTTGATCCGAAGTAAGCACTTTACACTTTGATATTAGATAATATATACTAACTTCATTCTCGACTAAGATTATTTCCGAACAATAGGTAGTATAGTGTTTTATTAAGAATAAAAATTATACTTTTTTTGACGATGCTGTACCTTTGAAGGACCATCGTCAAGCTATTCTGACGTTTCAGGGAGCACAAAAAGTACATTTTTCCTCCGAATAAAACATACTATTTTCTTAAAAACATTACAAATAAATTGTTAATCAGTTTCAAACATTGCAAATAATATGAACAGTAATCGAGCAACAATTTGTACACTCGTAAATTAATAATATATTTTTGTACTTTTGTGCTGAGGTGTAACAGTGCTTTACTTTTGTGCCTAGGCGTTAAAATGACAAAAGTTAATATCTGAGATGTTGGAAAAAAATCCTTTTGATCTGAAGCGAACAACTTTTTTTGTGGAATATATTGGTGACGGATGTGGAAAAATGACACGCGCCGTAGAATTGTTAATGTTATTGGTATCACAGATAACACAGTGCAATCTCTCTAGTAAATGGACGGCTTTATCAATATAAATAGTAGATTTTTATTGCGTAAACAAGCACGTGATAAGAATAACCAAACCAAACCTGTACATTTTATGTAAATTTGCCTATAATTGGAGAACTATTACATGTAACGTTGTAAAAATATATATAGGGTGGAGGGGGGCAGGTTCGGACGGTTTTGGATAAGGTGATATTTTACTTTTATTTTTGCCAAATTAAATGTTTTAGAGATGGCAATAGCTTGGTTGATATGTTTTAAAACCAATAATTTAGCAGATGCCAATAAAACCTGCATCGTTTTTTGAAAAAATTAAAATTACAAATGTGTTGCATTTGTCCAAAGGTGCCCCATGGTGGGGCAGTTTTGGACACCCATGGGGTACATCCGGACATATACTTCACAAACACTTTTTTCTTTGAAATATCATTATTTAGTAACATAAAAACTTATAACCTAAAGGAACTTCAAAAATAAACATGTAAACACATAGGAAATTTAGCACTTAAACCTACAAAATTAAATTCCTAATATTAATAACAAGAAAAAACAATAATAATAACATAAATGAATAAGTTTCTGTTAAATAGTGGGTTATTTTAAATTAAAAGAACTAAAATTAACGTTAAATTTTAAAAAACTAGCCAAGCGAGCATTCCCAGCAACTGTATTTGGTTTGGGCAGTTTTGACTCTATGTCACATCTTGCGACATTTGAAATATCATCCACAAAAGGAAAATGGAAACGGTTCTGCGAGTGCCTCAAATATTTTATAACAAACTCGCCGTATTCTGCAAGCTCTATTACTTGTCCGACATAATACACAACTGTTTTTTTTGTGGGGAATCTTACAAGAACAAAGTCGTCACATGAAATTGTCTCGTCATCTAGAAAAAACAAAATAATTCTTTATGAAAGATACTGAACCGTTAGAAAAATAAAGCAAACATTTTTACCTAGAAGTTTAGTGAATTCATCGCAGTCAGATTCCATGCCAGTATCCGAGTCAGATGGAGACTCGAGGAATCTGTTTTTCTTTTTCATTGCTTTAAAATATTCTGATTCAGAATCTGAAGATGTGGGACTTTCGTTAGCTCTTTTCGTTACTTTTCTTAAAGTCTTTTTAGTTTGCTTCTCTTGAACATTTAGTTTGGTTTTTAGGGATTTTTTTTTCAATTTTGTTACGCTTGTTTGAATCACTAACTTTTTTTTGGTTTCACTCTTGTCTAGTTTTTGCCTTCTAATGTCTTCTAATTCTTCAACTCGAATTTTCTCTGGGGTGCTTGTGTAAATTCTAGATTTTCCTATACGAGATTTCCTGTTAGTTTTTCGTGGCGGTGCTTTTGGGAACGATTTAACATCTGATGGCTTAACAATAGGATGCACAGAAATAATATTAACAGGTGGTTTTGTTACTACATCGATGATTTCATCAATTATTGAACGAATCATGGCTGTTGTTTTAACTTCATTGGTTACACAATGAACGGACACATCATTTAAAGATGTAAGATGATCAGAAGCGGAAGGCGGATGATCAGAAGAGGTGGACGGAATATTGGAACTGTTAATTGAATGATTGAAAGATGTAGATGGTTGATTAAGATGGTCGTTCGGCTGTGACGTAAGATCTCCGGTACTTTCAGGTTGAGGCCGGTCTGTGGCGTAGGCTCCAAAGAAGTCACTGTCAGAGAAAATAAGCCTATTAATGGGCCACAAACCGGTGCTTGAAAATCCGCTTGTAATGTTTTTTGGTGTAAAACTTTGAAGATAGGGTTCTGACGTCAGCTTAGCGATGTCATAAATTGTTATCGGTGCTCCTGGATTGTTCAGGATATGATCATTAAAAGAGACTTTGCATTTTTGCTTAAATGGTCCATACACTGCTTTGTCAAGAGGCTGCATCTTATGTGTACAGTGTGGCGGGAATGACAACAGTACAATACCATGATCCCTGGAATAATTAATAGCCTCCACTGACACATGAGTCTCATGGTTGTCCATTAACAAAAGTATGGGATTCGTTGGACTGCTCTGAGTATGGTTGCTGATATGTCCTAATAATCTTACAAATAACTGAGCAGTCATCCACCCAGACTTTGAGCCGTACCCTATGGCACCAGGAGTTGAACCATTCAAAAAATGTTTTTTTATTCGAACCCGAGGATATATATACATTGGGGGAATTGTGTTACCTGTAGCAGATATAATGCCGCAAAATGTAACTAATGTGCCCCTTTCTCCAGAAACACATTGTCCTACAACTCTTTTACCAGTTTCTGCAACTACTTTGGGAGCCTGAATTACTGTGGATATACCAGTCTCATCCGTATTCCAAATACGATTAGGAAGAAACCCGTATTTAATTTGCACATCAGAGTAATTCTTAAAAAAGTCTTCAACATTATATTTGTTAAATGCTGACGCACGTGCCACACTGGTGTTTTCGGGCTTCCTTAATGATAGCCTTGGATGCCGCTTCATAAATGAGCGCATCCATTCGACACCAGCTATTTCATTTGTTTTCCATTGTTGAGGAAAATGTTTTCCTAATTTAACTGCATATTCATAAGCTAATTTGCGAGTTGCCTGATAGGTCAAACCATATAAAATTTGTGATGATTGCTTAAGATATGATTCTAGCTCATTTTCTTCAGGCACAGAAAATACTTGCCTTGTCGCATATTTTGATAAGCCAATACTTGGCAACGAATCCTCATCACTACTCTCATTTCCAGAATCAGAAAAGGCATTTTGTCCCCTGGCAGTCCTGGCTTTTTTAACTCTGTCTTGAAGCGTTGATTTTTTCACCCCATGTTTAGTGCTAGCAATACGTATGGAAATTTTATTTTGTAGTACATCTAGAACCGCTGTTCGAATTTTTGCTTCGGAAACCACGGGTTCGTTTCGCTTCCTAACATAGTTTCTAACCATCCTTAAAATAATAAGTATATCATTTATAATCTGAGTACAAATGGGTGTATTAATGTTTAGTAGCCTGTATATGTGGGGCACCACCGGACAGTCCGAATATGCCCCACTTTCCACTGTCCGGATGTGCCCCACATGTAGAAAATTCAAACAACCGAAAAAATATTCAAATTACGCGCTTGTGGATTCTTGAAAGATAGGTTATGTGATATAAAACTATCATACTTTCTAGGCATATTCCTTTAAAACAATGAAATTACAACACTCAATCGTGTAAAACCTTACAAGTTAATATACATAATACTTACTTGAGGTCACTATATATTTATTTCGGTAATAACTTTAAGATTTCTTTAGGTACCGGCACAAAATTTTAGCTCGCAACATGAAAGAACCACTATTACCACCTGTTAAAATGCGAAAACGTATTTAGTTTTGGAAAGCGGTAAATTTAAAATGTCCGGAGGTGCCCCATGTCCGAACGTGCCCCACTCTACCCTAAAATGTATTTTTACCATGCACTTACCTAATATGTAGAAATACCTTCCTAATTATTTTTCTGCAAAAAAAACTCGTAAAATGTGTCTGTAAAAAATAGTGTAAAATTACTATAATTTTTATCAGCGTAGTTTTTTGAAAATCCAGATATTAATGTAGCAGATTAGATTGACTGAAAGAGAAGTGTAAAAAGTTAAATACGCTTAACGTTTCAGGATGGTCTTTGAATCAAGCATATTTTGTTGGTTAGTCATTTTTAATTTTTAAATTTCTCCTTCAGTGGCCAAATAGCCTTTAAAAATGAATTAATATGAAAAGCTGAATCTTTAAAAAATATTGCAAAAGCTAAATTTTCTTTGGCCTACAAACATGATAAATAGTAAAGCGAAAGTTGGGAATGCGATATCAAAGTTAAACCATTCTTTAACAAGTTTTAAAATAAACTTGAATGATTATCTTAAAACGATGAATGATGGTTAAAACAATTTATAATTCTGTAAGTGCCATGTTGAATTTATAGACGAAAAGCTGCTACCTAGAATAAGTGTAACAGTAATTTGATAATTTTTCTTTAAAAACTTTCTTGAGTACTTTTACAAATTAAAAATGATAAATGACAATTTTAATTTAGAGTCAACTTTTGAAGATGTGAAAGTGTTAATTGAACAAACTTTCAAGGTTTTCAAAAATGCAGTTTGGGCTGAAAAATTAGATGAAGGGATTAGTTTATAGCTGTTTTATTACGAACAAATTAATTATCTATATTATAAATTAATAAATCCTTTAAAATTTCTAGTTCGAAAATCGATTAATAGAACTCATATTGAGTAGTTTATCAAATCTGACCATTTTTAATTTATTAACTGATTTATAATAAAGTCCATAATTTCCAAAACTAATTATATTGAAATAGACTTTAATACTAGTATTAAACATAACTTATACAGGGTGAGTTTTAATTAAGTGCAAATATTTTCAGGGCTGGTAGATCTCGATAAAAGAAACATAACATATTTTCTCTTTATCGTGTTTCAGTTATACAGGGTGTTTCAAAAAACATGTGCCATCTCTCGTGGGGAGATTCCTCACGTAAAAATAAGATTTATTTTTCATATCAACATAGGTCCGATTCTACTTTGTTTCCTAGCTACAGGGTGTTAAAATCTCGATTTATTATAATTTTCTCCCAAGTACTTTTTGCGTTTTGAATGATTTTTTGAGGGTAAAAGTTACTATAAATACGACATATTTTAAGGCTAAAAAAGTGTCGTCATATTCACCAGGGATTAATGGGGGGGTGTATATGGATTATCACTGGAATATTTTTCTAAAAAAAGCTTGTACGCCATTGAAACGGTTCGACAACTGCCTAGAAATAAGGTAAAAAATGTTTTAAAAGAGTTCTTGTGCCAAAATGCCTTCTATACACTGGATGAGTTTTTTGAATTGGATGTAGATTTAATTTATAACTTTGACGTGATGTAACATTTATATTTAGTTTTCTTTCATGTCTTTTGATTTTTTCTGTCTTATATTTTGTTTTTTTCTTCTAGCTTTTAAATATTATAGTGTTAGTTTATAGTTAGAATATTATTAATTTAAGTACTGTTAATACCTTTTGTTTTGCATTATGTGACAGTGTTTCCATGCCCATATGGGACTTCTATGTATTTTGGGAAATAAAGATTACTTACTTACCTACACAGAGAAAACACTACCATATCTACAAAGATAATATCACTACCTAACCAAACCAAAGAAACACTATTTTCCCCATTCCTCGACTATATTAGTGTTTGAATCGACATGATATTGCTTTCGGAATATACACTATCACTGTCTCAACTATAAGAATTAATTAATTGGTTTCCAATAAATCATTTAACGATAAGATCAATTGGATTTCCATAGGAGTGTATTTTTGTTGCAAATATTATATTGAATGAACTTAACCTTATTTGAAGCAATTTGACTATGTCTTGAAATTAAATTTTCATTGTTCTTGGCGAGATTTTACTTTTTTAATATAAAAATTTAATATAAAATATCCTTTCTTATATTTCATTTTACACATTTTTATGTGAAAAGCATTTGACAGCCGTACACCTGCTATATGTACGAATTTTCTGTTTAATAGTGTTTAAAGCTTGTCAGGCCAAGGAGTAAGGAGACCACCCGTTCGTCGACCGGAGTTATGCTCCATCATCAGGACGACTTTGGCAAGCTCCAGGGCCCAGTCACTCTTATGGAGCATTAAATTAGAAATTAACGATTCAGCCCACTATTGATGGTGCTAATTGACGTCGTGTATTTATGTATTTTTTATGGTCGCAGAACAGTTCGTCGTGTATGTATAGTTGCTTCAACCGTTACAATTGACTCGGTCTTTAAATTCATTTTATGAATTTTGCGATTGATCCCTCTTCCGTCCACATAGTACTTCAAATACTCCTTTATTATACTTATTATACTCCTTTTTTTATGCTTCAAATTATGTTTAAGCTGGTTTTATTCTGTTTTTAATACAAAATGTATTTCTATCGTGCTTTTTATTGTATTCCGACGAACTTTTTCATATTATATTATTCAAAGGTAGCCATATTTCTTAGTGCTTCTTGAACTATACAACTGTGATGAACTGCAACGAGATGAATTTTCAAAGTAAAAGCAGCCTGTAGGATAAATTTTACATATACGTTGTAACAGGCTGAACTCATAATTCATTACCACAAAGATATAATTCTCATAAAGGTATCTGGTGGTCTAGGGGATATGGCTCTCGCCTAGCAACACGAAAGCACAGAACACACTAAAGAAGAACGCTAACTCCCATGCATTTTTTAGTTTCAAAACGGTTTCAAATTTGTAAAGAAATCTGTAATCTGTATGTTGAAGTGGCGCCATCTAGCCACCCAGGAAAGTAACAAATGTGGCGGCAAATTTAAATAGATGCAATTTATTTTTAAGCAAGACGTATTGACTTGTTCGCCAGTTAGAGCCAATCAGATTTCTACAAAATAATGTGTAGTCATCTGATTGGTTGACAAACAAGTCAAATGGTAAAAAACAAGGATTTATATATAAAGGTTAAACCAGGTTAAACTATTGTAAAGTGTTAAATGGTTTGCTTATATCATTTTATGTGCATAAAAACCTACAATAAATAATTTATTTTAATTTACACAAAAATTATACCATGAAACATTTTACAAACAAATAAAACAACAGATTAAAAAGTATAATATTTATTATAGTACCAGATTTAAGAACACATAACAAATATCGTTGGAATACAAGAGAAAGTGACGTCCATTAGAAACAATGTTTTATTTATGTGTATTTTTTACATATGGACTTGAACAATTGTGTAATATCATATTGTGAAGTTTATGTACAAAAATATGGAGTTGATCAATTTTTTTTGTAAAAATATATGGCGTTGTAAATATTACATTGTTAAAAAATAAAATTCACGAACATTTGGACTTGGTTAGGTTACCTCACCTCGCTTTCTCGGATTATTAAATAAAATTGTTAGATAAATCAAAAACCTTTAACTTAAACCTTACCTTTAATAGAGATCTTAAAAATCAAACACAAAACAAAGTTCAAAAAAATTCAAAAATACAAAATCACGATTTTAAAATGAAGATTGCAAAAAACACAGCCAAACAACCAGCAAACAGCGAAACGCACATCTCCGTTCAATTGCAAAACACAACTGAAGAAGAAGGAGGAAGCCGGAAACGGAAAACTGATTTGACATACAGAACAATGACAGAACATAATTAATAGGCCTATTTAGGCAACTATAAAAACAATTTTGTACGCAATTGTTAGGCAACTAGAAAAATTAAAATAAAAATACGCCATCTAGCGCCCCAGGAAATTACTACCCCAAAAAAAGATCGTTCAAGTTCGTATATCTCAGTTGACTGGCCCTGCACGAAAGTAGCCGGTTCGAGGCGTGCCGTTGACACGACTTTCTTTATTTAATAAAAAAATTATTTTGACCTTGAAGCTCTGAGCCGCACTCACTCCACTATAGATGGCAGCGGCAGCAAATTATTACATTGACTGATGATTTCTGTAGACGTCCTGTAGTTATTCTGTGGCAAGCTCCAAGTTCCAAACAGAAAACGCATGTCAAGTACATTGTAGTACGCGAGGAATAGATGTTAACGCCATCTAGCGACCTTAGTGTGCGAACACAGTGCAAGCAGGTTTGCCGCTTACTGGTAGTCAGCGCCAATCTGGGCACCTATTCTTGACATCGTTCGCAACTTTGCGTATACGCATCACTTGTATTGTTATAAACAGGGTATCCCAGAAATAAGTGCAAGTATTTTAAGGGGTGGTAGATCTCGATTAGAGGGGGGAATTCTAGTTCCTTGGGAGGAACTACTTCCTCAGTTCTAGTTCCTCCAGAGGAATAGTTCCTTGAACTAGGTCCTTATTTCACAATAGTTCCCGACTAACATTGACATCCTCGTTGCTTGCTAATGGATTTCGTTTTCAGTCAGAACTATTCACCCCCAGTTTACTATTCAACATTATACAGATCATTATAATTTTTATAATGTACGAAATATAAGAAGACGTGTAATTGCATATGTTAAAAACATATAGGTAAGTTTTATAGCAGATAAAAAAAATTAAAGAAACTCAAATCAGAATTTAAAACTATATCACAAATCAATTGGAGGAAATAATACGAAAAATTTACGAAAAAATGTATTTTTCCTCACTTCAAGCTTTTTGTTTTGTCTAACTTCGTTTTATAAGATATTTCTTAATTTTAGGGACATAAAGTAAACATTCCCATAAAATATTTAAAAAAATGTGGTAATTACGCCGCGCCGGCTGTGGCAATAGACAAGGCCGAATCCATCGTCGTCGCCTTGTATTATATCGCGAATCTGCCGACTGAATAGATTCCCGTGAACTAGTCTTTTAATAGTTCCTCTATGTCCGGATCCGATAACATACGGATGGCACTCCCCAC